CAGTTATTAATATAATATTACATTATAATAGTTATTCCAGCTAACGTGATAGGAATTTACAGTGCTTATAACAAGTCGATTTTGGTCAAGCCCATGAAAATACTAAAATATTTTTTGTATAAAATAAAGGTATTATTAACATGTGTGAAATATATTTAATTATATATATATATATATCATTAATGTGCTACTGTTTATAAAATATTAATATTCTTAACTCGTGAATAAATTATATCAATGAAAACAGATAAAACTAACAAGAATCAGACTATCTTTGTTTTGTTTTTCTTTACATGAAGATATGGTGAGCGATGGGCTTCATCAATTTATTGTTCTTGTGTTAGTTCTGCGACGATATTGGCAAAGAGGACAGGGCCTCTTTTTCCGTCGGCTAAACTAAATTCGTGTCTTTATAAAATAACAACAATGATCCAAGAAAAAGGGTTTTTTTTTCTTGATATTACGTTTCTCAGAAATGTAGACATGACTGGGTTTGGATTTTAATTAAAAGTTTTAGTTGTGCTTGATTATGTTATTCCAGATCAAAGACGTCGACAACATATTATTTTTATTGACTTAATTGGTAGAAGGTTTTGGCTATTCTAGATATTGTATGAATATTGCAACTAACGTTTGCAGATAACAGAGATTAATGTACCAGGTAGTGTTTGATTGAGGATAACAATAAAACTATAAAAGATATACCATCTTTTGGTTGCCCTTTTTTCTTAATAATTTCGAAATTCTAAAAGGTTAATTCTGTAATTATTCATATTTCGAGCTTTTCCTAGATTTACAGGACAGTCTAATTTATATTTGAAAATCTACTTGAACTGAGTTAATTGCACAAAATAACTTACAGCATGTCAAAGTATACAGACTGATAAACATCAACTTCAAAATGGATTTTTACTTTAATACCAATTAAAAGTGAATAGTGTACACGAAACACATTATTTTTTAGCAGTATGGTCTTATATTAAGTAAATTCATAAAGAAATACAGTTAAAGAAGTCGAGACAATTTGTTTAAAGTTTTAAAAACCATTTTAAATACCCGCGTCCCGTTTGGATCGTTAGTCTCTTTCTGACTGTCTTACAAAAAGCTAATTATTTCTTAAAGCATAGCATTTATAAAGGTATAATCTCCTAATAATCTTTCGCTACTTTAAAGCCTTGATATTATTAATTGGACAAGTTTTCATTCAACGTAGGTTAGACATAAAAAGTATATTTACACTCCTTTCTTACTCGAAATAGGTGTGTAAAATACAAAAAAACAAACAAAAACAAAAACATCTACACGAATATTTCTATTACATTGTAACTTATTAGAAAACACTTATGTACGTTTATCTTAATTTTTATTTCAAGATTACTTGTGCTGATGAGCCTTGCACGAACGGAGGGACTTGCCATGAAATGCCATTCACTGCTGGAATTTACAACCAGTTTACCTGTACTTGTCTATTAGGATTCAAGGGGACATTTTGTGAAGTCCGTAAGTACATTAGTCAGTGTGACGAGATATTTGAGTGCAAACGACATAAATGTGACGTGAAAGAACAGCAATCCATATAAATTCGATGACGAGGAACCCACTTTGAGACTAATAATGGCTGGAGACGGCTTAAATGGGTAATGAAGAAAAACTTTAATATAAGTTTAACATGACAGCAAAT